AATCCTTTTCAAAGATCATGGGCGCCGTACACATCAACATCAGCTCAAAGAGCGATAGTGCTCTGGTCGCACGCGTATTGATCGCTGTATTCGAATTGTTCCACCATGAGGCAACACATCAAAATACATAATTGCGTGTCTTGGGAACCTTGGTGCCGACATACTTGGCCCACTTGCTGGCAAACGTGTTGATGGCGGTTGGATCTATCGCGCTCAAAATGCGATTGATCATGTGGAGTTGAGCGATCTCGGTAATGTTGGGGCTCAACTCGCGCATCTGCCGTAGAAGCGCGGTGTTAAACGCCATGGCTGCCTTGGCGGAGCTCATAAATGTCAGCGTGCCAGGGTTGTTTGTCGTCCGAAGTGCTTTGCGGAGACCATCCACCACGGCATCGGCAGCAGCTAAACGATCCGGTAACAATTGGAGGTTAGCCGTCTTTTCAGCAGCCAAATGATCCGGTAACAACTGGAGGTTAGCCGTCTTTTCAGCAGCCTCCATCTCGCTGACTGTTTCTTGAATTAACATGGGTTTTTTAGTCTTTACCACATTGGTATGGTGTTGTCTCCTTGCTAGTGTTTATGTATGTCTGCTCCTTGCTACTGTTTATGTCGCACGGACCTTCCGATGCACGATCTGAAAGTGCGGGGTTGTAACCTCATCGAGCTTTGCTCGAAAACAATCGAGAGGATGTCGAAGTAGTTACTTGTTGTAACGCTGGCAAGGAGATTTGGACAAGATTTTATCAGCATGTTTGCAAAGTCCCCATCAGCGCGCGATAGCTTTCCTTTACGCTTACACCCGTAGTTAGCAACAACGCAGATTGGGACGCTACTGTTGCTGCTGGTGGTAACACTAGCCGAGAAAAAGACGGACTACCAGGTGGTGACACGACCTGGGAACCTGCAGTTCCAAGAGAGATCTTGCTAGGCGCTGGATCGTCATTAGAGGCTGCTGCGGAAACAATGGCAGCTGATCTGGTGGAGGTTTCGCGGAGCGATCGCTGAAGCGAAGATTCATTTGTGCTCCGACTTTACCATAGCATATAACGTTGTACTATATATTGTAGTACTACTGAATAGCAATGTGATGTACAATATAGTAATACTATATTGTTCAGCAGTAATATACTATATATCATCTGTACAGTATATCAGTTATGATACAGACACACTCGATGATGTACATGATGATAGTACTATCATCATCGCTGTCTCTGAGGGTGTCTGTATACCGATGCAGTTTCCGCCACCTCACCAACTTCACTTTGCTTTGCTCTGCGTAACGAGCAGCCGGGCCGCACGAGCCTCTGCTTGTGCCGACCACGACTGTGATGGGTCACACGGCACCTTGCACAGAGGAAGCTTGACTTCCAAGAGTATACAAACTCGAAGTGAACGGCAGTTCACAGTTCCTTGGTCAGAGGACACGTTAACCAAATTTAGGTAGTTTTAAGACTGCATATATTTATAGGTGTTCCTTAATGTCTTCCTACATACTAACTGCAAGTCACCAA